AGCAGCACCTAATGATTCTTTAGACCAAGTTTTGAGCAAAGAACATTCAGGTAGGATGCAAGGTATGGGGGCTGGTGTGTTCCATCTAAGGTATTGGGTACTTTTTCTAGTTCGTCGGAATATGTTGGAGAATCGTCATATGTTGATCCTGGGAGTGAGAAGGAAGAAATTTTGTTGTCTAAGTTGCAACAAAGTTTAGACAAGAATAAGAAGTATGAAGAGTGGTTTGTCAAGATTTTTCAACACATGAATGTCCCCATGCCTCTGGAGCTGACTACATTAGAACAACAAGTAAGTTATAACTTTGAATGAAATTTTTAGTTTATAACGTGCACCTTTTGTTTTTTTTTTTTACTATTTCCAGTGTCCTCTTGACTCTACGACTCAACAATATGCCCACTCTTCGAATGGTGATGCGAGACAACAAAAGTAGCTCTCACTTGTTAAAAGGTGCATACGATTATATGGTTTGTAATGTAATCTCTTTGTATATCATTCTAATAGGTCTTAGTAGGAAGGGTTGGTTAGTATTATAAAAAAATTTGAATTCATAATCATACTCTTGCTTGGGACTGTTTGAAGGGTAGTTTCGGTTTTGAAGGGTCGTGACTGTTTTGAAGGGCTGAAGTGTTGAATTTGGACTGCAAATCACAGAGTATAAGGAGAGCTATATAAGAGCCTAAGAGGGACTACAAGTAGGAGTTTAAGACTGCATGTAGAACTCTAAGCCACTTGTTTAAGTATAGCTTTTAACTTTTTGTAGAATGTTAAACATCTTAGATTTTGAATTGAATGAATGTTGAATGATGGTTTATATTGATGATTGGCAATTCAAAGTCAAATTGGTTTTCATAGTTGATTTACTAAATTGTTTATTAAAAAAATTACAACATATTTGTGGTGTCATCATAAGAGCAGGTAATTAAAAAAAAATGTTACCTTTAGCGACGGTCGGAACGGTCACTAAGTAATTTAGGCCTATTTTTGTAATATTTATTTAGCAATGGTTCTTTCAAAAATAATCACGGTTACAACCATCACCAAATCTTTTCGACGGTCAACCTAAAGCGTCGCAAAAATAATTATAGACTGCTGGGTCTGTGACATTTGGTTGGTCGTCGTTAAAAGTTTTAGCGACTGGTGCGACAGTCGCTAATAGTTCTGAAAACCGTCGCTAAAAGATGTTTTGTTGTAGTGAATAGAGTGCGAACAGTAACCATCTACGCCATAGGAGCAAAAGTCTCCTCGAAATCAATCCCATATTCCTTACAAAAACCCTGTGCCACCACTCTGGCTTTACACTGCTCAAGAGAACCATCCGGACGAACCTTGATAGCGTACACCCAACGAGGGCCAATAACCAGAATAGATGGTGGTGGACGAGGAACCATGTCCCACGTGTGATTAGCGTGAAGTGCGTCAATCTCCTCAGTCATAGCATTATCCCACTCGGGATGTCCCTAATTTGCCTGTGAATAACGTGTAGAAACTGGAATGAGATCAACACAGTAGGCCAAGAAATCCATGTGACAAGCAGGCGGAACACCCTTAGTGGAATGGAGCGATCGTCGAAGAGGCTCCACTCGAGGAGGAGACGATGATGATGCATCTGTGGGCGAAGAGCCGTGGGAGGACGAATCTAGAGAAGATGGCGTGGTCGTCGGTCGAGGGAGGGGAGTCGGGGGTAGCACATCGTCGGAGAGATCATCGTCATCATCATCAGGAAAGGAAGGTGGGGCAAGTGACATATCAAACAATGGTGGATCAGACACAGGAATGGAAGAATGATACATCAAAATTTCAAGAAACACGACATGACATGCAATACGAACACGATGCGCAACAGGATCGTACCAAAGGTAGCCCTTATGGATGTCACTATAGCCAAGAAAACAATAACGAGATGTCTTAGAAGTAAGTTTAGTACGTTCAGACCGAGGGAGAAGAACAAAGCAGACACACCCAAAGATACGAAGGCGAGAGTAAGGTGGTGGTTTTGAAAAACGACATAAGAAAGGACTGGTATTATCTAGGATAGGAGTAATTTGGTAGTTAATGAGGCGAACAGTAGTGGCAACAGTTTCAGGCCAAAAAAGAGGAGGGGACATACGAAGAGAGCAAGAGCGCACGTGTTACCTCAAGAACATGACGATTTTTCCTTTCTACCAGACCATTTTGTTGGGAGACACCGAGACATGATTTCTGAGACAGGATACCTAGGGACGGGTAAAGATTTAACAAGGGACCAGAACTAAATTCTCCTCCAGGGTCAGAGCGGACTACACGGACAGTTCTACCAAACTGAGTTTTAATCATGGCAAGAAATTCAGTAGCAACAGTTAAGAGGTCAGATTTTAGGCGAAGAAAATATACCCATGTGTACCGAGTAGCATGATCAATAAATGTTGCAAAGTACTTATATCCAAGTCGAGAAATGGTAGGGCTAGGTCCCCAAAGATCTGTATGTATCAAATCAAAGGGTTCAGAGATAGTAGTAAGACTAGATGGAAAAGAAATGTGTGTAGTCTTAGCCTCAATGCAACTGGTACAAGAAAAATCCGACGAACATTGTCCAAGGGTATTCAGACCAAATAACTATTACTTAAACATAGTAGTAAGTCTACTAGAATTGGAGTGACCCAATCTAGCATGTAATAACTGAAAAGTTTTATAAGGAAGACTCGAAAAAATTGTAGGGAAAAGGTACAAGGCTCGAAGCTGGATGATGAGACGGATGATGATGGTGGACGCAATTTCTCAAGATAAAATAAGCATCCCTTCTTGCTACCCTTGCCGATCTCCCTCTCGGTCGTCGGATCCTGAACAACAAAGCTAGAGGATGCAAACGTAATAGGATAACCTTGATCAGTAGGTTGACCCACAGAGACCAAACTAGAGACTAACTTCGGCACATGAAATCTAGATGACAGCTCAATATCCAAACTATTAACCAACCCCATGATTGATACATGTAACTTCTCACCATTAGCAACATGAAGATACATATTATCAACAAGTTGTAATTGCGTAAGATCAGAAACATCCCTAGTCATATGATTAAAGCATGCAGAATCAAGTATCCATTTAGGGATCTTATCAGAAACCTGCAAACTCGCAAATGCAGAGGAAATAGCCTTGTTGACGAGCTGTTCAAGAGCTGTCGCAACTCCCATATAGCATAATTCTTGGAGTTGAGACGTGCGAGAATATGTTCATAAGACATAGGCCTTGATACCATGTTAATTATAACAGAAATATCGAAACAAAAGCGTAAACGAACACATAGAGTTACGTGGTTTCCTCGTTCAGGATGAACGAGACTAGTCCACGGCAGAAACCATTGTATTTCTTATTCAGCTTAACTTCAACAAGTTCGATTACATACATATATATACAAACTAGGGTAAAACCCTAGACCAAACTCGGATAGCCCTAGATAACTCATAGAGACGAAAATATGGGTCGGCCAAAGCCCAATACGCAACACTCAACAGCTATTGGTGATGGTGATGGGTATTTGGGAATTGGGATTCATGGGGATTCGATATTCCTTTCGCCGGAAAACGACATAGAGAATAGCAAGAAGCACACGCTGCAACAGTCAGGATGGAGGTTACAGACGACGACAGGTAATCGTCGGGGAGTGTAGAGCGGGGTAGGTGGGGCGTAGGGGCGATGCAGAGCCCAATAATTAGTTTCATTTGATTTATCTAATAATTTTGTATTTTTTCTTATATTAATCATAATTTAATTTTGAATTAAATAATGACACGTTGGATGCCACGTTACTAAAATTCAACATCATTTTGACCACTGTCAGGTCAACCATTAGATATAACGGTCAATGAAGTCGCCAAGACATAAATAACACACAACTATAATAGGTTGGAATTTTTTTGAAATATTGAATAATTGGGAATAAAAATCGCACTTAATTGATAGTTCGGATTTTCTGATGGTATTAACCTTAGCGTAATCTAGATTCATCGTTGTTCGCCGAACATTCTCATTGAAATATTGTTTGATGAGTTGTGAGCTGAGTAACAATTGTTTGACTCTGTTTGTTGTTGTTCTTTTATGAATGTTATGTTTGTTGTTTTCTTTGAAAACAGAGTGCATACATTTACACATACATTTCCACCACGAAACAATATCTAGGTTAAGCTCTTTGATTAGTGGAAAGTAATGACGACTTCAATATAATCACCATGAAAGGTCTAAATTGATAGTATTCAATCGATCAATATGGCAATTCATGCTATCTCTCGAAATGTACTGTCAAATGAAAATGGAAATATGCTAGCTGGAGCCAAAATTCTTCACAACTATTTTGCAATCCAGATCAGCTCGATCGACAGAAACCAAAACACATATGAGAAATGAGTATGGGTAGTAATGGCTTGGTAGTATATTATATATTTTAGATGGTGGAGTAGTCGACAGAAAGACAAAGGAAGCAATTATAGTTAAACCAACCCGACAGTTTTGACAGAGCATACACAGTATGGGTGTCACGTCTCATTTTATTGCCCGTGGCCGTGGGATCAATTGGCCCTTTCGCTAATCATGAACGGGTCCATGCATCTTTTCTTTCTCTATGCTAAATCTTTCTTTCGCAGTTTTGATCAACGCACGCGGTAAGGTATATAATTACGGATCTATTCATACTACAGTAAAGAATTTACGTAGTTAATTAATACGATGTATGTTAACTCAACTACTTCACTGAGAGATAAATCAGTGTTACTATAATTTAAGAGGTACAGATTACAGAGATTTATAGCCACTTCTCCAACACGAGACCTCATAATTATCAATCGGGGCGGGGCATATATATATATATAATCTGTTTTGTTTTCAAATTACATAACAATACTGTTATAGTGCTTGTTAACTTGAACAACAAGAATCCATCAAAGATTTGGAACCTATTCTTACATATATCCCATCATGCAAACAGAAAGAATATACATGCAAGATGTATATATGTAGTGTAAATGTCATTGAGTGGTAAGAGAGGAGGCATTTGCAGTAGTAGTAGTAGCAGCATTAATGGAAGTAGAGGAATTGTTGTTGTTATACGGATCAAGAGGAGGAGAAGAGATATTAGAAGAATTCTTATGGTTGTGCATCCAGACTTTGAACACGTGGCGGCTGATGCCAATCCCTCTGCAGAACCTCTCCACCTCGTCGCTACTGCCGCTGACATGCCGGTGCAGCCTCCACCCGAGCTTCTCCGCGAAACCCATCATCTCCTCCTTCTGCTCCGCCGTGAACTTCGTCCGGTGCCTCTTCCTCCCACCGCCGCCGCTCCGCCTCTCCTCCGGGCCCACCGACGCCTGCCGGAGCCTATGATCTCCTCCGTATTCGTCCACCATGTAGCTGGACGTGGCGGCGGTGAGCTTGCGGTGGAAGTTGCGGTGGCAGCCACAGGCGGCGCATTGGAGGGAGAGAGGAGAGGAGGCGGCGGCGGCGTCGTGGAGGGTGAACTCGCCGCAGCCGTCGGTGGCGTAGCTGCCGAGGCTGGCTGCATGGTTCCTCAGGCATTCTTTGTACACCTCGTTGCCGCTCATGTTGTTGTTTTCTCCTTCCATCTTGTGATTCTTATTTGGTCTCTCGATCCCTTTTCTCACTTTTGTTTTTGATTCTTCTTCCTCCTCTTTCTTCTTGTGCCGTTTTCTTCCCTTCTTTTTTTAAGTAACTCCCACATTGAGGTATGGAAACATTTTATAGAGAGGGTGGTCCTCCATGTTGGGGATAGCTTGGATACAATTTGTTTAAGGAAAGATAAACTGCTTAAGAAGTTGGATCACTCCCTCCCCCCATCTTACTTGTCTACTATTTTATATTCCAATGGTAAAAGTAATGTCGTTATATATCACATGATGATTTTTTTTTCTATGGTCTTTGGACTTTGGGTGAAATTGAATAATTTTTTTACATATCTTATCAGTATCATTATGATCATGGGCTGATATCACATGCAAATTCAATCTTCACTTGCAAAAAGATAGATTATATTAGGGTTGTTCTTTTGGTTTTGGTTTTGTTTTTTTCGTTTAACCGAAACCAAACTGATAGAAGGTTAACTGTTTTGATTTTTGGTTTTTTTGTTGTTAACTCTTTAGCATCTTAATAGTTTTGATTTCGATTTAAATAAAAAAGTGAATAACAAACCTATAACACCCTGGCTTAGTCAATATCCAGCAACAACATGCATTGTCACCAACTTAAGTGTATCAGACTTCTTTCTTATTTTTATGCATCTTGTTGTATTTTCTTACTTCATTTTTTAACTTCATAAACTTATTGGGTCTTAGTTATTTTGATTTATCTAAACCAAAAAATATTAAAAATCTTATCAATTTTTGGTTAGTCAATAAATCTCTCAGCCGTTTGATTTTGATTTTTGGGAATTGTTTGATTCGATTTTTGGTTTTTCATACTTGATAGTTTGATTAACCAAATCAAACTGACATCCCTAGTTTATAATATTTAGTTAGTGGGAGAATGCATGCATGTGATAATGCTTTGAGATGATGTACTTTCATGCACTATCAGAAATGAAGCAGACAAAATGGTGCATATGTCGATCCAACCTTGATCATCTGTTGTCAGCCTATTAGTTTAGATTCAAATATATCATTCTAACTACATTGATGTTCTTTAAAAAACATGTGCAAGTTTCATATTTATGTCCTGGTTCATGAACATCGTCACCACACCGATTGGCAGTCAAACGGAATATATAGCTTCAACCCCGACATCAATAATTTTCAATGAAAAGGCACGCACATGAATTAGTTAATCAGCAGTAACAATTTTTCCATTAGGAAGAAGAAAAAAGAAGAAAATAAAGCAATAAGAGATTATAGGTCAAATGTATCAAGCTATGTTTGGCCCGATTTCTGAAAGGGATTTTTTACATCAAAAGTTGAAACCCAGTCAAATATTTTTATAAGCTAAATTAAAAAAAAATTGTATAATATGAAAGCAGAAACTTTGATTTGGAACTTATCTAAAAAGATATTTTGAAAATACAAAATTATTCTCTTGTATTAAGAAAACATACATTTATATCATTTAAAAAAAATTAAAAAAATATATTTAATATTAAATAAATCTAATAATATCCATTTTGACTATTTCTTATAATTTTAAATTATAATTTTTTTGTTATTTTATATTACCTCTTATATTAAAAATACTTCTAATAGTTTTTGAATCAAACACTCACTGTTTTGTCTGAAAATGGCTTCGCCAAAAATTCCAGTTAGAAGCTGTTTTTGCAAAAGTAGAGCAGCACCAAACTAGCCCTACGAATACCATAGAGAAAAAATTTAAAGATTTTATACAATTCAATCGTGTTTAAATTTGTATTAGCTAGTACTTTTAATTATTACTATGTAGTATAAAATTCATAATTAATTTTTTTCTAACAAACTCTAGTTGTTGGGATGAATATCTTCTCTACGCTAATGAATCAAGTTGTCTCTCAATTGTACTCGTAAATGTCACATTCTCCTTAGTAAATTAAACGGGGTGAGATTAGCAAATTTGGTGATGTAGATGGGTGATTTGTAGATTTCCATTGTATATACGCGGATGATAATTATTAAGTACATGCTTGGTAAGCCTAATCTACCTGTTGATAAGTGATTTTTTTATAAAATTTTGAGATGACGAAGACTAGAAACGAATAAACAACATAGCATATACGCTAATTTGTTATTCAAACATGAACATCAAATTTATGTGATATCTTTGAAGAATTGAAGAATTCAGAACCAGGGTCGGCTAAGAGGGTGTGCTGGCCCATCCTCCGACACAGGGCCTCCGAATATTAGAGGCCTCTACTTAGATTCGTTAGTTACCGATCATATATTGTAGGTTGTATTTTTAGTCTATGATTGATTGATTATGAGTATGATGACGTGTTTAATAGATAATTTTAACTATAACAATTGAAAAGGATCTCATGGAGAATACAAAAAATCAGAGAGATAATAGATAATTTTAATTTAAACAATATAGAAAGATATTACATTTTGAATAATGGTATTATAATTATGTTAGTTTTATTATAGCTAAAAGTCAATTTAGACCACGTCTCGATTTTGAAATAGGGCCTCCACAATCTAGTAGACAACCCTGCACCCATCACTCGATCAATTTAGACTATTTTCATTTCTCCATTCAATTTTTTGTGTTATATCCATTTTCTCTTCCTTCCAGATTTACTTTCCTCCCTTCTAGTGCTCGGAATTTGGTCTTGGTTTCTTGGTCAAACGGGAAGAGAGATCGTTTATTCCTTTTGTAATCATTTTCTGAACTTAAGTATTTTTTATAATTATTTAATAAATTTTAATTTTAATAAATTTATGGTGAAATAAATTTAGCACCACATTTTAAATATTCGAACAAGGCCTCCAAATATCATAGGACGGTCCTGTTCAGAACTACTCCACAAGAGAAGAATCCGTCCAAGTCTCTCGTATTCCACTTAGTGTACCGTTTACAATCAGTAGAACATATGTAGGCATGGTTTCACCGACGAGGAAACCCTAAACCGACATAGTTCTAGGTAGCCCACATACCCAAGACACCATTGCGGTTAACGGGTTAAGGGCCTATCAAAGCTTTTCCACTGCCATCTGATATAACGTTTTTGTTAACTCTTCTATTCCTGCTTTGATCATTCCCAAAAATCAGCATATCATTGACATATAGAATTAGAAGTAAGACCGTAGTAATAAGCAGACATATTACATAATGTGTTCATTAACAAATTATAGTTAAGCTACTAAAACTCTCATGAAGCCAAAAATAGATTATGTATCATTGAAGACATACATAAAGCAGACAAGTAAAAGCTGGAAGTAAGGGGAACGGTATGGGGTGCTCCAATTATTGACGTTGGGAATAGAGGAACTCAACAACGCACCCTATTATTGTAGCTGCTGCCAGTGCCACTATATATTCATTTTCAAGTATTTCCATTGAAAAAGACCATCTTATCGAGAATTATCTTCGTGGATACTTAATTACTGTTTGCAAGGAAGCTTAATCCTGGGTTGTGGAACCCTAACTCCTTAAGGCATACGTTGCTCAAAGTCTTTTTAAGTTCGTTTATTTCGTAAATAGGTTGCACTACCTCGACTAGCATCTTCGCAGTTTTTAGAGATAATTACCTTCTAATTATGATTAATTAAAAAGTTGTCTGACAAGGTTACCACCAACGATAGAAGAACTTTTTTCTTAATGGCTCCTCCATGTACACTTCTTATTGGTTCTGTCCGTTTCCACATGTTAAATCATATATATACCAGCCAACTAGGTGATATGATTTGTAATCGAACATCTTCCAACAACTTGAGTTATTGGGATGACTAACAGGTTTTTGACATGGTATCAAAGTCTTATATGCTCGAGAGGTCTTATGTTAGAATCCCGACAACCTTATATATTAAGAACATAGTATTTTGGCCTGTGCAAATTTTAAGTTCATATAAGTGGTTTTTGTTTGAGTGGGGTATGTTAGTATGTAGTATAAAATTAATAATTTAATCTCTCTCAACAACTCGAATTATTGAAACTAATAAATTATCGATTAACACCAATAACATCATTCAAAAGAGAGCCGGCCATTGTTGAAAAGGCTCAATAATAACGTTCATGCATGTGTTTGTATATATATCATCCCAACAAATATTATTGTTGATATCAAATTTAGTGATAATCGTAGAGTTTATTTAATTTTAATGGTTTTCATTCCAGCACATTCTAATTATGCACATTTATATAGTATTTGATGGGAAAGCCAAATATTAGAGAGGCTTCAAACTAGATTGTAGTCCTTATCTCTGGATAATTAAACAGTGTAAGCTAAGGCAATGAATCAATGATCAAAGTGATTGATTATTACACTCCTCGAAAGTCAGTCAATTTATTAGAAGGGGTTGAAGTTTGCACCAGATACTACGTGCTTAACATAACATAAGGGGTCATTGAGATCGAACAGAAGATCTCTCGGCCGCAAAATGCTCTAATGTCATGTCAAGAACCAATATGTATGTTTCAATAACTCAAATTTTTTAAAAATATTGAATTATAAAGCATATAGCATTTACTAACACAATCAGCCACATGATTAAGAGAAGGGTAAGCTAGCTAAGCCATGATCTTGAAGCCTTATCCCCCCATGTGTAGTTAAGTTAGTTAAGAAATGTAGGTACAATGAATCTGGAGAGTGGTGAGTGTACATAACGATGGGGGTGTTGTTGACCAGGGAACCAGCAGAGACATTGATTAGTTTATATATGCAGTTCCTCTCGTCTCTCTCTCTGGACAAGTCTTTGCTGGAAAATCAGTGATAGCTGATGTACCCGGTTACACAATCAGACACTATATATCCCTCTTCTGCATGCTTATTAATATTCCACTACTCTCTTCTTCTTCTTTTTAACTAGAATCGCCATGAAAGCATCTTACAGTCTGGCTGCGGTAGCAGGACCATGCATATGCCTAGCTAATAGCTGCTTATGAAGCACATAATTAGTACAATAGTTGCGTTAAGGGTACGAATTAGGTGATCATTTTTAAAAGGGTAGTCATTTTTAAATATAATTAATCTGACTTTTTACTTAGGGTCGTTTGGAAGTTGTGATTGTTAGAGTTGTGTTTGTTGAATAAT